CAGGGGGTCTAGTTTGGCCGCTGACAAGTCTCTCTCTTGGCCACAGCCTGCTTCTGGCACCGCAGCCCTTTCCTGCCCCAACTCTCTGCCCCACCCCCCAATATACCCAAACCCTCTGTCCCCCTCTGACACCCACACCCCCTCCTAGATCTGGTACCCTAATGTCTTGCCCCAGATCACAATCCCCTGCTACCCTAGGTCACAGCCGAAAACCCTGCATCCCAGTCCCCTGCCCTAGATCACAACTACCTCCTTCACCCAAACTCCCTCCCAGACCCCATTCTCCCTCCTGCACCCAACCTCCATCTCAGACGCCGGAATTCCTTCATTATTATCCTGGAAGAGTGCAGCCCTTGACCACTTTCCAAAATCTCGGAGTTGCCCCCCGTCAAAAATTATTGCTCACCCCTGCCTTGGTGTGTACTTTGTTGTCCAGGGTGAGGATAGCTAGGGAGGTTTTGAAAAGCCGGAGCCTTTTCTATAAGAGGATAACAGCAGCTCTCACGTATTTCTGCAAATAGGGGCCGCAGCTATCTCCATGATGCAAACCCTGTAGCATGTTGCCTTGTGTGGAAGGGGCATAGCAACCACCCTGGAATTTATGCAGGCAGTGGACAATCTATTTTCTTCCACTTGCTCTTTTGTGCACGCACACACACACAACCAACTGTGCCTGCTATTGTCAGGTGTGCAACCCCAGTCCTACAGGAAATTAAGATGTAAATTATGATGTGTATTATCTTGGTCAGTTTATTACTGGATATAACTACTGCCCGTGGCAAGTGTGGAGTAAAATTTAGAGCACTAATGTGGGTCTGCAATTATATCAGTTGGGAATTTCAGAGGCATCTGAAGAGGCTGGCCCATCATCAGTAGTTATGTTGTGTCTAATCTGTGCTTTCACAAACTGGTCCTTTTTTTTTTTTTTTTTTTTGGGTAATGAAAACATTAGAGAATATTGGCTGGTGGGAGTCCTTGAACATGTACAGTATGAATCAAATACTGTAACTTATTTGAAACTTTTTAACAGTTTATAAATAAACATATACAGTCTTGATTTGATACTAAGTTTTCTGCCCTACTGTCTTCCTTTGCAAAAGCATAATCACAGGCACCTGCAAACCCCACATGGGTAGAGACTTCTCATATTTTCTGTCTTCTCCTTTTACTCTTCCTTTCAGTCACATGACTTAGCCACACCCTCAAACTGGAATCAGATTGCAGCATGTGGGGCTACAGAGCTAAAGCAGTGTTAAATGGTCCTGATCTAAACATACCTTTATTGGAATGGTTCATACTCTCTCTGTATATCATATGTATTTGTTATGGGAAACTGCAGCATTAAAATACAAAAACAGTAGAAGCAATGTTCTCTAGAAAGCCTAAAAAATAGAAGGCATACCAAAGGAATATTGTAAAAAGGAAACTAGAAGGGCAAAGGGTCTTTCACAGTACTAAGAGTGCTTAATATACACACACTATTAACAGAGTAGCAGTGTTGAACAGTGGAGAAGCTGAGCAGGGTGAGTGAAGTTCCTCATTCTAAGGGCCATTGAGGGAGAAATGAGAATGGAATGGATTAAGTCCTGCTGGAACACTGATACCCATTGGGAGGAGGCTGAAGTAGAAGGTCTAGTATATACAGCTGCTGCTAATATACATCTGTCTTGCACAATAATGCCAGAGGGTTTTGTACAATTAAACTTATTAAGATCAGCAATAGCTTGGAACCACTAAAAGCTGTAGTAGCCATATATTTCTTCAGTCATGACACACATGAGGGGACAGACTGGACATCTGGTATAATAATAGAGAATTCCATACCATTGAAATAAAGGTCAGTCTATCTCTAATAAAGAGTTTTAAAAATGTCTAAGCATTGCATTTATTAGTTTAAAGCCTTGGTGGTGCCCATTGACTTTGATATCTTGTTTTCTGTGAGGAAACCCATGGAGCGTGCAGAAGCTTAACCCTGAGTGTTCTCTCAACAGCCCTGTTATGGGTTGGTCATGCTGGGGTTTGTCTCTTACATCCCTGCAAGGTGTCTGGTACTAATCATCTGTTGTGTCAAATTGCTCTCTCTTAGCAAAACTGCAGGGTAGCATGTCTTGAAAGGTTAAATAAACATGGCTGGATTGAATTGCCAGTGCTGATTTTCTGTCTAATGCATTGCTGAGTGCAGGTGGCAGGGCCTCTGAATTCAATACAACACAAGTTTCTGCCATATTCAGCAGAACCATTGTGCTTCTAAGCTCCTGAATACTGAGCAAACTCACTTGGGAGATGAAATGAGGAATAACAGGAGCTTCACATCCCTGAGAACTGACTCTGCACTACTTATTGCTGATTTCCTAAAAAAGCATCCTGGATAAAAAGCAAGCGGTGTCTTCATGAGGAAAATCTTCTTCTTAGTTATAGCAGCAAATTGTTTTCCTGGTGTCTTCATGAGGAAAATCTTCTTAGTTATAGCAGCAAATTGTTTTCCTTCCATCCACACTAGCAATAGTAGAAACAATAGTGTAGATCAGTCACAGGTGTTTCGTACCACCATACCCTCTAATTCTGTAGAATTTAATAACACTAACATTACATGCTAATTCCCAATCTATTTTAAAGTTCCTGGCATTGCTAGCACATGTGAAGCTGCTCCAGATTGGTGCTAGAGAAGTGATGGGAGATTCTTTCATTGTCTCACTGCAGACAAGACCTCAGGATAATTATATTCTGCTGACTTTTTCCACTCTGAAGCCCGCTACCCTGTATTTGTCATGCCTCCTTGGTGCTTGTGCAAGCAAAAATGGTCAGGCAGTGCTCTGTGGATTACTCATACTGATTATATATAATAGCCTACTTAGAAATGTAGAAAGGTTTACATTTACAGCCTGATGTATCTTAAAAACACTAAATGAAAAAGTTCCATTTAAACATGGAAAATACCAGATGGTTTACTTCCCACTAAATTTCTCAGTGCTTCTCTAGGGCTGTACTGCACTTTGTGACAAAATTGTGTCCTAGAGAAAATAAAAAAATGCTACCAACCACAGTTCCCGCTAAGATGCGCGGCTGTGCGCACAAAATTCTTCCCCGCCCGCCTCCTCTGGAGAGCTGCACTGCAGCGCACACGCAGCAGGTGGCTGCTCCAGCAGGCAGGGCTGGCTGAGATGGTGTGGTAAGGGAGCCATTGGGGTGGGAAGCTGGGACCTGCCACGGCCACATGATAGTGGTGGTAAGGCTGGCTGCCATGGGGCGGGGATGGGGGATGCTGTTCTGGGGGCTGGAGCTGGGAACGGGACCTGCCCCATGGCAGGGTGGTGTGTGTTTGTGTTTGTCTGCTCCAGCAGCCAGGAACGGGATATGCCACATGATGGAGAGGGTGCAGGGTCTGCTCTGGCAGCTGAGAACGGGACATGCTGCATGGCGGGGAGGGGGATTGTTTTCTGCTGTGGCAGCCAGAAACGTGTGTGTGTTAATAAATTGGGTGCCATTGTGGCACACATCCCAACCAGCGCACGTGACCTCAATATCAGTGCACAAGCCAAACCTCACTCCCCTCTAAGATTTTTCCAACCATGAGCAAACACTGCTGCCAACAGTCTTGTTAGCCAGAACAGGATCCGGTAAGCCCAGTTAGTCACTTTCTTTGGACTTCATGGGTTAGTATCTTTCACTAAATAAGCTCTTCTGTTACTGATCAATGATAACGCATTAGCCAGCGTGCTGTCTTTTGCAGTTTAAATTTTGCCTACTTTGCTGTGGTACAAATAGATATTACTGACAGAACTATAATTTCCATGTATTATATAACAGTGATCCTGGTCTCTCTGTAAAAGCTTGTAGTGCTTATTGCTCAATCTTTGGTTCTTATGGCTCTTCTACTTCATATTGATTGTGGTTAGGCATTTTTGTAACCTGATGAAAATGGTTACTGTAACAAACTACACCCAACAGTGTGTGCCTGTAACATGTTACCTTGGGTGTCTTGGTGATATGAAAATGGAGGTTGGGAATAGACTACTTGAGGTCCTTCCCACTCCCAAGAAAGTGGCATCTGCAGAAGGATGCCTTTCTACTTCAAAGACACATTGGGAGCCACCACACTGCCATGAACATATATAGTCCTTGCTGAATAAGGTTTCCTTGTACTTTTTGTGCTGCAAAGCCAGTAAAATACAAATGTTATGCCAAGGACTAGAATAGTGGCTAGAGCCAGAACCCTTGAATTTGGCCGTTTTGGGACAAGATCTTTCTTGGCCATTGATTCACTGCTTGGCCAAAGGCAAAGACCATTAACATTTCCAAAACTCAGTTAATGTATGTGTAAATGGGCGTAATAATACCTAGCCTCAGAGAAATGCTAGAGGCTTCGTGAATGTTAAGGTGATTTTAGAACTCTGGGAGGGAAGTACTGTAGGGCGGTCTAAACTTAACCATATTTATCCATGTAGCAGTAATGAATTAATAAGAATACCTCTCTGCATGGACTTGCATGTTCCTTCCAGTTGGTTTATGCTCAGTACATTGATCTTTTCCTCTCTTTCACCCTTTTGCAGGTGTACTTTTCGATTCCCTAGCACAGTCATAAAGATCCAATTCACATCTTTATATCATAAAGATGAAGTGAAGGAGGAAGCTTCATCACCTCCCCTTCGGCCGCTTTACCCTCAGATATCCCCTCTGAAGATACATATTCCGGAGCCGGATCTCCGGAGTTTGGTCAGCCCCTTGCCCTCCCCCACTGGCACTATCAGGTAAGGTTCCTGCTATATAGAGTGCAGAAAAGATTCTGGTCTTCTCTCCGTGTTACTATAGATTCCATCTATATTCTCAGGCACTAACCTAGAATTGGTTATCCAGAATACATAATATATGAAATATCCAATTAAAAATAGCACGGAAGCACGATATTTCGGATCATGGAAGCCATTTTCATTTGAACTGAAAAGTCCTGGGAGTGTGGGAGATAGAGATTTCAGATCTCCAATCATTAGTATAATATACATGGAGAACTAGATATTAAAGAATGAGAAAAGGGCATAGAGGGAAACTACATCTGTGATGGTCTAGGGATGATCTGCTCCATTAAGTGCTCTCTAGATGTGCATAAATTCATTTGCCTGCTGTATTGCATTATTTATTGTTACAAATTTTATTTTAATTTCCGTAAGTTATATTTTTAATTGTAGCCAGCATGTCCCCCGAAGCTAGGGTAAAGGATAGGAAAGGATATTGGTTGGACAGTTGGCCCACTGATAGATTTCAGAGATTTGAGTGTTAATAAATGTGTTTTTCTATTATTAGGTTATTAATAAAGGTTCAGAAGCTTTGCTAATCAGAAAATCAAATAATTCTTTCCTTGCCTCTTAGTCAAGAGTTGATAGTGAAGAGGCAAAGTGTGATCTCAAAATACTACGCTTCCTTACTTGCACAAAATTTAGTACATGTATTGTTAAAATTTGGAGATATTATAGTTACATACTAAACTGCAGTTTAGAGATGTAAGCAAGTAGTCGACTACTCGCCCCCTCCTTTTGCTGCCTCTGTATCAGAGGCGGGGGGGGGCAGGAGTCCGTTCTGGGGAGAGCTGCCTTAAAAGCTGTTTTCCCCCAGGCACCGTCTCTGTGTTGCTGCCAGCTCTCCCCCTGTGTTGCTGCCTCTCTGAGACAGCAGCATGGGGGGAGCAGGGCAAGCTGCCGTGAAGCCAGCCCCAGCCACCATGGACAGGGGCTGCTACCAGAGTTGGGACCCCCCGTGGACAGGGGTTACTGGACTCAGCACAAGCCGAGATTGTACAAGACTGGCTCACACGGATCTGGGACTGCTGCATCTCTTCATTTTAAATGCACTAAGAGCTGGGCGGCTCTTACTACATTTAAAATGCAGAGCTGCAGCAGTCCCGGCTTGTGCCAGTCCAGGACCTACCCCACATTGTGGCTCTGCAGTTTAAATGTGGTAGAAGCTGGGCTACCTGCACACTTGGCTCCTACTGTATTTAAACTGCAGAGCCTCAGTGGGAATAGCTCCTGGACCTGCACAAGCCAAAACAGAACACCTTTCCTTATCAACTATACAATCAGTCAATTACCTGCCTCTTAATAACCTTACTGCCGCTGTCAAAACAACTAAAGTGCATTTGAGGTAATAGCCTTGGTTGTTTTTTTTCTTATTCACCAATTTGTAAAATGTGGAACTGTACAGTGGATTTCCTACTTGTTAGTGCTAATGAAGATAAAATATTAAAATTGGAATGACTTTGGTATCATGAAGGCAGTGTTTGGCTTTGCCTGGGATTGGAAGCACATTGCTTGGTTGGGTAAGCCTTTTTCTTCTCTGCAAAGTTGCACTGCCTTTAGTGTAGATACTCAAAAAGGAGGGGGCTGGAGCTGGGTGTGGTTCAAATTGTCAGTTCAGCCATCTTTTTAAGTTTATAGTCAGTCTCTCTCAAATGAATATAGTTGCAGTAGGGAGTTGGAAGAGGAAGGTAGTTTTGTTGCCAACATATGGTACCTAGTTTTCCATTCAGTCATTTTGTGTGTCAGGCAGCGCAGTGTGCCTTTCATTACTAACAGAGGGTGCACCTTTGACTCTGGCATATGTCTGCAACTGATACTTGACTCCACTAGATTTTTTTTTGTTTTTGCAAAGGAGGAGAGTGGAAATAGTAGTACTAAATTTTGCTCAGCTCCTAATAGAGCGTTCACCAAAGATAATTCATGTTTGCATCCATTTGCCGTAGCAAAAGCAAATCCGACAGTCTTCAAAAACCTCAAAAGACTTCTGAGGTTTTATTTGCCCAAACCCCTTTCGGTTTGTGTTCCTTTTGTAGGGGAGGAGCTGACGTGTTTGTAAACATCCCAGCTCTGCTCCTCACCCCCTAGTCTCTCCACCCTCGTATCCTGTCTGTCATGTTTCAGGAAGTGAATGAAATCGGTTTTATTTTTTTCCTTGAGAAAAAAGTGAATGTTCTTCATAGAGCTAAGGAACTCCAGACTATGAATTGCAGCGTGGCAGCCTCCCTGTGTAGAGTCACCGTGCTGTAAAATTTTCTTAGCTGCAGCAAAGCCTTTGTCCCCTTTTGACGAATATGTTTTTAAGGCCTGGAGAGAACTCAGCTTAAGCCCTCACCCACCTTGTTTATTGGCTCCCTGTGTTGGGAGGAGGTTTTCATTAGCTCAGCTCCCCTCCCTTCCCCCATTCCAGTATTTACTTTCCAAATTTGGTGTGTGTTTGGCCTTCCCTTTCCTGATTGGCTGATGGAAAATTGTTGTAGTTTGTAGATCCTGGGTCGGGTTTGTTTCCTTTTTGGAAAGTAGCCCCTGCCGCTCCCCTTCTCCTCCATCCTTCCCACACTTTCTGTCTGGGTTAGTGGTACAGTACCTGCAGGAACAAACACTAGCAGGGTTCAAAACAAACAGTCCCCACCCTGCCCTTCTGACCCCATCTCTCTCTTGCTGCCTTTCTGTTTACATTTTAGCTTGCTTCTCTGCAGGTTCTCCAGGGCAGGCCTGGCTTTTTCCCCTCAAACATATTTGTTTTTCTCTCTGACAAGTGCACCACTTAGAGAGGGAATGAGCTTTATTTAAACAAAATTAAATCTTCCAGCCTTAGCAGTTGGGTGGTGTGAGACCCTTTCCGGATACTAGAGGAAATTTTTCCACTCTTTGCTTAGTCAGAGGTACTTTGTGTCCTGGAGCTACCATCTGTAAGTGTGGTTGAGTCCTGTGTTTTGAAGTTGTATGGCTTCAAGTAAAAATGTATTGTCTGGCAGCAGGCGCTGTGAGAGTCAGAGAGACGTTGTTGTTGTTTCCTCTTGTTTCAGTTTAGAATTCCTTTAAAAATCTCTGCCGTGCTCTGTCTTGCTGGTGCCAAGGTGAAAAATAAAACCAGATAGGTCTCTGTTAATAGGAAGCTGATAAAAACAGCTTATCCATAAGATCACAGGAGCATGGCACTCATAGTTGGGCAGAAAAAAATCCTTTTCTGTTGATTCAGGGCACAGAATAACTTGTGTGTGAGATGAGACTACATGCTGTTAGGTGTATTTCACAGACAGGCTTTGGCCTGTCACAATAAATCTCAGGAGTTACGGGACTACCTTTGATGTATGGCTTTCCAGCTCTGGTGCTCCATTACAAACACCTTTTGACAACACATAGCTTATTGCTCCCCTTGAATTTCCTGAGCATTCTACAATATCGACTGAATTAGAAGACTTGGTTATGCCATATGTTAGTCCTATCCACCGTCAACACATTTTCAGGGTTCTATAACCAGATCTTCAGACTGGATTGTCTGTGTAGAGATGAAGTCTGATGTTGACACCCCAAGCCCCAGCAGGTGTGTACCAGCTCTTGAATTTCTGAACATTGTCATACGTGGTATGGGTCAGTAAGTTTGGCCACCCTAGCATAAGTAATGAAAGGCAGGATTTTAAAAATGTATTCATTGTTAATATAATCAGCCCATCCATATAGGCGAACTAGGCGGTCGCCTGGGGTGCCAAATGGTGGCACAATATCATTGAGAGGTTTGGAGGTGGGGGCGCCGATTGCATGGTTCGCCTAGGGTGCCAGGTCCTGGCAGCTAGTCTAGGGCCGCCCCTGCAGGTATAGCTTGTTAAGCGGGGCACATGAATGAATTGACTTGCTATAATGAAGTGTATTATGCGTATACTAAGGTGATATTGAAAGTAAAGCTACTTTTATTCTAGTCTAATGTTTATATTTTTGCAGTGCTAATGATCTGTGTTATTGGAAGACGGTGTGCTCTAATAGTGGATGAAGATGAGTGTAGAATTCAGGAACTAAGTTCTAATCTTGGTCCAGCTACTGACTTCCCTCATGGCCTTAGACAAATCACTTAACATCTCTGCCTCTGTTCTCTCCTCCTACCCCCCCCACTCGCCTATGTTTGAAATTTGCGTAATGGCTATTTCCTAAAAGTGTGTATTAGATGAAATTGTGTATGATTCTTCAAATGTGATATGGTGTAGGAATGCAAATAGTATTATGTGCAATGTTGTATTGCATGTGTGAAAAAAGCTTGATGACCCTCGCTGCCTTGGACAGAATATAGACCAGCCCTACAGTTGATCTCTTTCAATCTAATCTAAATTAACTAGCCAATTAGCCTGCCATAAGACAGGATTTTCAGGTCTCTCCTCCATGTCAGTCTTCTCTCCTGAGCCTCCGGTCTCTCACTCCATCTCTCTCTCCTCCTCCACCTACTGCCTTTCCCCCCCTCAGCTCTCCTCTACCTTCTGCCTCTCTCTCCATCTCTTGTTTCTCTTCTCCCCCTTCTGCCTCTCACTCTCTCTCCGCTCTCCTCTGTCTTTGTCGGGGATGCACGCTTGTCCAGGCCCTGCCCCTGGGCATGTACGTCACCTCCCTGCCCCCCTTCGGCTCCTGCTACTTGCTCCTGCGCGACAGCCCGGCTGAGCGGCGCAGAAGTCAGCCAAGTGCCACGGTGGGAGGTAACAGCACCGCTCAGAGGGAACAGCCAGTGTTTCAGCGTTACAAAGTCACAGACATTAGGCTACTATATATATGATGATTGGATTTAATCTAAATTAATGTTTTAGTCCACTAAGTGGTGTGGTGGAGAAAGCAAAGGTGTAATGCTAAGTTCAGTTATCCAGTCATTCCTGTTCTAGTTAGTGTATCTTTTGTTTACCCCATTACTCTGTATTTCAGGATCTCCCATGTTTTCCATTGTTCCAGCACTGCTAACAATTTTTGGTCGTTGAAGCACT